TTTTATAGGTGTGTAGAACGTTAAGTTAATTCACTTGTTATTATTTTTGGCTAAATATGCTTTTAAATAAAGCATATTCTTAAATTTTAACGAGGCAGTTTAAATAATTTTGCAAATGGTACTGTACACTTTTTTCTAGCTCTCGCTCGATGATCGGTAAAGAAATGAGCTACGCAGGCAAATATGATTGAATTTTGAATTAGGAATTATGCTACGGCGCATCATAATAAAGGGAAGGGGCATATCTCTAACTTCTTGAAACGAACAGTAATTTTATTTTTTATTGACTTATTTTATTTACCTATTTTAGTCATTTAATGTTGAATCATTCTGGTGCCCCATCCATTCCCTTCCGTACATTAACCACCGGTTGTTCCGTCAGCGTTATCCCTAAAACAGAATTCGATGGTTGAACGATGTGTCTAAAATGTTTTTGAAACGGTCTCAAGTCCGTCAGCCATCGAACAGAATGTGACAGATCTTTTAGCCCAAAAGTAATAGATCGTGAACATATTGTCTTCGTCCCCTCGAGAAGTTGAATTTAGAAAATCCCTTGCCACACATGTCCATTATATTATAAGCCGAATATCCGTGCTATTTTCGATATACTGGGGTTGGAATCAATTCCAGTTAAAGGGAATATCCATGTACAAGGAAATGCTATTTCAAATACATTGAAACAAGGCAGCAGTTCGTCATCACCTGCCAAAGTAATTGAGCGTGTCGAGCCATTAGCTAATTTGAAAACATTAGGAGGCTCAAATGAATTCTGAAAGGGTAAACTGACATACGCTCTGTAGTCAATTAATAATAAGAATGGCTCATTATGACTTGGAATGAATAAATAGGGAATTATTAAATTTTGAAACACAAATTTGGTGAAAAATAGTAGTACTATACTTCGTTTAGTTTCTGTTGCGATGTGACTTTCAGTTTGACCAGCGCAAAGTAGAAAAGAACAGCACTAGGCCAGAAAAAAAAGGAGACAACTCTCGGCCAAACCTGTGAGGAGCGTATAATACGTACAGTACTGCAAGGAAAAATTGACCATTTTATCCACTACAATTGCATTGCTCAAATATGCTGTTATTGGTACCATTTACTACTGAAAATATCAACGAGATGTTTATTTATATTTGAAGACATATTAAAGGCTTTAACGCTTGTTTTCGACTCGCACTACTATTCATGATTGAAAAAAAACTTTTGGCAGGTACTGTATGAAAAAGTATGTTAAATGAATAAGAGTCGAGAGTATAATGAGCTTTTTCTCCCAACCTACGATTTTGCCAGCGCGCATCCAAGACATTGGAAGGGACACATCGCTAGAGAAAGTAAATGAAGTATACCAACGGCATTTTGAATGATTTCGTATTGTCCAAAATATTCCAAGAAAATGAAACCCTAGCTGATGTTTTGCACAGGGGCCTCTTCTATGATAATATACGAAATAACGAATGATATTTCAAAATTCAACCCTTAAGAAAGTAAAAAGGAGTAGCAAAATTAGTACAGACCATTATTTGTGTTATAGACTTAAAATTTAGTTATAACATTCTTTAATATAATTAATCAAATGCCTGTTTCGACATTTTAAAAAATTCAACCTTTGAAGGGGTGAAATAGGTGATGCTTAGAAAAGCAGGCTAGTTGCGTTATAAAATTATAAGCACAGCTAAAAAGAGTCTGTTATATAGTGTTAATTGTAAGTAATCTTACTTATATATATAAAATAAGTCAGGCGACCCAAGTGGTGAAAATTGCGAATAAAAGAAAAAATACATTCCCGGTAGGTATCTGAATAAATGAAAACATTGAATGTTGTCATATTCATGTATTATAATATTCTTGGAGAACGTGTCAAGATTTGAAACCTCAAACCCTTCGAGGCATACAAAGAAAACCCCAACTGCTTATTATACATCACGATTCAGCGAACTTATTAAATATGCAGGATTCGCGTCCTCTATTTGCCAGTTGTTTTTGCAGCCTGGAGGCAACTGTTAGGTCCTTAACTCGACAAAGGGCTTAGGCACATGACTGCCATCCTTCATAATGAAACACCCCCTTCAGCTAATAAATATTTCTAGACGTTTAGCGTCTTATCTTCATCCGACAGTTGGCTGGTATGTTATGCCACAGGGACGTTCAAGAATTCTTTGATATTAAATAGAACTCAACATCTTACTGTTATCCTGAAGTAGTTTATATAGTTGGGATGATTAAAATTTGGCAAAGTGTACAACAAATTATCTGTGAGAATGGATGTATCTTGTTTCCACTTGGGACAGTAGTCATTTGTTGCATTTTGAACATTTTCTTGTTGAGTTAGGAAATGCTTCATGAGTAGTACAGTCAAAGTGAAAAGAGATAACAGAATAATAGTAAGTGATGTAAAAGTTAGACATTGCTTAGGTACGGAAAAGATCAGGGTCCGTTTAATAGCTGCCTAGCTGGAATTATATCTTTAAACAAGTGTCTTTGCTTTCCTATATTCCTGAGAATGTTGAAGTTTAAAGTCTGATGCTTCTCAAATTCTGCTTGTCTGCATCTCTTTCCGTTACACATTAACCGGTGTAATGTTATTCCTTTTTCTTTATTAGCTTCGCTGCAATTCCTACCTGACATCTCCCTTCCATTTTTACGATATTCCCCACAACGTCTGTCGTGAGTAAAAGTAGGCATTCTGTTAGCAACTACTCTAGTCTAATTAGTAAGTTGAAATTAGAAAGTAAATGCGACAGTTTTATTACGAACTATGCCAATTTTGAAGATCCCAACTATCCCTAGTTGCAAAAGGAGGTTCGAAGTGTGTTGCTTTGAAGGCATTTTATAATTTCATCAAGTAATTTATTTGAATAAATAATTATAAACCTATCTTTTTTTAGAGTGAATATAAAGATAGGAGACGAAAAATTACAAGAAGTGGCTGATTTTTAGTGTCTAGAAAGTGAGAATATT